TTAAAAGTCTGATTGAGACAAATTAGGTTATATGTATTTTTATGGACCAGTAATAGTTGCTGAACAGAGCACCTTATGCAGATTGGCTTAAACAGGACCCCTTCCCCCCACCCTTGGATCCATTTGTAATTATAGTTATCAGCACAAAACTGGAATTCTGTAACAAGGAGGAAGGGATAAATAGACTGAGTAGGCAATCAATTTTCCACCTTGTTCACTTAACAACTAAGTCATCCTAAGTGGCCAAATTGAGTTTTAAAGGAGCATCTCCTCTCATAGTTTACTCAAACTTTTGAGAGAAACATAGTAGAGCACAATAAATTGGCTGATGTTAAGTTTTCATAGAATAAAACAATCAGCAGATGTTCAGAGAACTTCTGGAGATCCCAAGGGAGATCTGACTCCAGAAGCATTCACCTGCAAGTACCAGAATGCCTAATTACAGTGCTTAAGCAAGAAATATGGTTGACATCCTGTCATGAAGTCTGAAGGTTGAGAGTTCCAGATCCAAGACAGTGGCTCAGTAAAACTTTGGAGAAGTGTGACTTACTCTATTTTTCAGTTCTTTATCCTCCTCCTCCTTAGGTATGTCGTATCTCATGGTAGCTTCAAGCATTACATTACTGCACTGCACTGGTCAGGCCAAGATAGTAGCAGGCCTCGCACTGTCTGTCAGGAAGTTTTTTTCCCAGAAGCCCCACATACACTTCCTCTTATATACCGTTAGTCACATGCCCACTCGTAAGGCAGTTGCCACTGAGGGGAATAGGATATTGTGCTTGGCTTTGACCAGTCTTATTTTAGGCTCTGGCAACTGAGGGGAAAGCTCACCTTCCTTAACATATTGTCCAAGCAAAATCACAGTTCCATAAACTAAGAAAAAATGGGGAATGGCTATAGGGCAGACAAATAGTAGTGTCTGCCTAAGGTCAACTTGGCAGTATGTGTCCAAAGCTCAGATCATGCCTCTGTTCTATTTTAATAGATATTAGGAAAGGATCAATCTCAAACTCAGTGTTTTTCAAACTCTATGTGGTTTACTTTTTTCCGATTAATAATCACTACTCAGAAATTGGGAAAAATATAGTTTAAAAAACACATATACTCTACAAGCCCAGTCTTCATTGCATTAAAAGGCCGTAAGTCCCTTTGTCAAATTGCTATAAAAATGTCAATTCTCTCAGTTTCTGTCCTCATCTCATCATGGACCAGTAATAGCTCACAGACCAGCCGTAGTTCACAGAATCCCTTGGAGAGGCAGGTTAGCCAGCTGACTTCATAATCTGGCCCCAACCTGCCTTTCCTACCTCGTGTCCTGCTTTTCCTCCTGATTCACCCACAGTAGGCTGTCCTCTATTACCAGAATATGTCGTGTATTTTTGTTTTACTTCTGGACTTAACTTCACATTCTGTTCTCCTTTCCTGGAATGCCCTCCTCCTAGTTGGGGAACACCTCATCATCTTTTTAGACTGGCTTAAATGTCACCTTCCCTGTGATGTTTTTTTCTGAATTTTTTCTTCCCGATCGGGGCTTCCTTTGACCCCCAAATATATTTATTTAATTAGATTGCAATTATTTCTGGGTCTGTCTCCCTCGGTAGACCAATAGTTCCTTGAAAGTGACAGTTGTCTTGCTCATCTGTATATCCCCTGTGCTTGCCGCACATACTTTGCCCTAAATAAATGCTTATTGAATTGAATCAACTCAACAAATGGTGTGACGATGTGACTTCTATTTGTTCCCTTTTATTCTCCCCCAATGTTTTCGGGCATCTGGCCGGCTCAGTTGGTAGAGCATGCAACTCTTGATCTCAGGGTCATGTTGGGTCTAGAGATTACCTTAAAATTAATTAATTTTTTAAAAAAGAACATACCATGGGCGCCTGGGTGGCTCAGCGGGTTAAAGCCTCTGCCTTCGGCTCAGGTCATGGTCCCAGGGTCCTGGGATCGAGCCCCGAATCGGGCTCCCTGCTCAGTGGGGAGTCTGCTTCCTCCTCTCTCTCTCTTCCTGCCTCTCTGAATACTTGTGATCTGTCTGTCAAACAAATAAATAAAAATCTTAAAAAAAAAAAAAAGAACATACCATTTTTACACTTTTTTTTTTTTGCTGTCCTGTCAAATGTGGTTTTAAAAACAAGCTGCCACTTGGCTCTGTTGTATTCCCATCACAGGTCCCATCCTTCAGGCAACAATGTCATTGTCACTGCAGGCAGCATGTGAGGTTTATACACTGATGATGCCACACACACACACACACACATATCCCAGCAGCAGGGTCAAATCCCCTCGAGCAATAAACTCCCAAAGGTACCTGGCAAGGTGGGACAACACAGAGAACATACGATTTAAATGACCTAAGCTTTAGTTCACATACTAGCTCTGTGACCTTCCTTAACCTCTCTGAGTTTGTTTCTTCCATTTAAAAAAAAAAAAAGATCCCATGGGATGACATGAGGAAACAATAAGTACTTGATAAATGTCAGCATGCTCAGATGAGCATGTACGTGGATTGACAAAGAAGGGAGGCTGGGAATAACAGCGGGTCTGCCTGTCTCTTTAATGGGTCAGGGCGGGACTATTGGTCAGGCTTGCTGAGAAAGATGACCTGCTTTGATATTCTAGCCTCCGTTGCTTCTTTCCTGCTTCTGATTTCCTGGCTCACAGCTGGCAGGAATCACCACTCTGGCAGCTCTGGGTGCATGACTAAGGTGGAGGGATGAACAGCTGCTGCTTGCTAAAGTCAGTGGGTTGGTTGGGAGGCAGGCAGGTGACATAAAAGCAGCATATGGAAATCCCCAAACTCTACTGCTCAAATGACATCCAGATCATTGCCATGAGGAAGACTGTGGGCAGGGCCTTTCCTTCTCTAGTTGCTCTCTTTTCCTTTACCACTGATTTTCCCCCCTCAACTTTAGAAAGAAGGGAATAAATTACACATCTGTTGGTCAGTTGATTTTAATTTAAAAAAGGGGGGGGGCACTTGGGTGGTTCAGTTGGTTAAGCATCTGCCTTGGGCTCAGGTCTTGATCTCACGGTCCTGGGATTGAGCCCCGCCTAGGGCTCCCTGCTCAAAAGGGAATCTGCTTCTCCCTCTCAGCACCCCATCCCTTACTCACTTGCTTGTTCCTTCCCCCTCCTCTCTCTCAAATAAATAAACAAAATCTTAAAAAAAAAAGAAAAAATGGACGCCTGGGTGGCTCAGTCGGTTAAGCCGCTTCCTTCGCCTCAGGTCATGATCCCAGGGTCTTAGGATCCTGCATCCAGCGGGCTCCTTGCTCAGCGGGGAGACTGCTTCTCTCACGCCTCTGCCTGTCACTCCGCCAGCTTGCGTTCTCTTTCTCTCTCTCTGACAAATAAATAAATAAAATCTTTAAAAAAAAAAAAAGAAAGAAATTAGAAAGAAAGAAAGAAAATCTTTTAAAAAAAAGAAAAGAAAGAAAGAAAAAGAAAAGAAAAGAAAAGAAAAAAGAAAAAGCTGGCTTCCTTCAACATGTCATGCATTTTCAAAACTCTGTGATTATGCTCCTGCCGTACTCACCACTAGAAATTCTCTTCTCCCTCTACCTACGTGGTTCATTCAATGCCTATGCCTCAAATCCAGCATTAACTCTTACATCTTCCCTCCTGTACACTACCCTTCCTTCTAGGTGGACACCTCTCCTTAAACTTAACTCAGTCATTGTGCTTCACACACTGAATTGCCATTGTTTTTTGAGGTATCTTTCCCTTGTTAGAGTGAAAGCTCTTAGGAATCTGCTTCTCTAAGTGCTTGGCTCATAGTAAGCACCCAGTAAATATTTGTTGAGTTGAAACTTCTACTACTTGGCATATTTGCCCATTTCTAATTTCTGACTATTTTTAGTTAGGTTATCAGCAGTATAATAAAAGTCCCTAAGCACTGAGTACTTAAATAGTTCTAGATTGTTACTGAGTAACTCCACACACACCCCTCCCCCAGTAGGAATACTGATAATAAATACTTACTAGCAGCATGGGAAAAAAATCAAGGAGTCATTTGGAAGCCAGAGGGACATGTCTTAATGTTTGCATATTCCAGATTTATTTTTTGATGACCCAAAATAGACCAGGTTCATCCAGAAGTTCCTTGGACATCATCAGATTTCCGGCGGGGGCGGTGCGTGTGTGGGGTTGGGAGTCATAGATCTAGTCTATTTCCACCTACTGTGCAAACTACTTGGCACACAGTGGTGGGTCTGACTTGGGATCAAATCCTGGCTGGACCACTTACTGCCTATGGGAACTTGTTATCTCCATGAGCCTCAGTTTCTTTCAGATCTAGGAGGACAATACTTATTTGGAAGGGTTGTGTGGTGACTAAATATTACATGTGTAAAGTATCTAGAGGTCTGGCACTTGGTAGGTATTTAATAGGTGACAGTTATTATAATTTACAAATAATGGGTAAGGTGATGATCTGAGGAATGTATTACCATTGTATAAACTATTACTAGATCCAGACATGCAGGGGCAAGTCAGAATTCAAAGAATTCAAAGAGCTGCTTTGCATAGTCATTTTTGTTTAATGGCTGTCAAATAAAATGCCTAGTGATGTTTATAATGTGACCTAATAAAGGCCTCTGAGGGTTTTTCCAGTTCTCACTGTTAGGATTTTTTCTTATAATAGTCCCCTACTTTCCTGCTTTGATGTGTCCGCCTACCTCAGGAGAGCCCCTAGCCCTCCCCACAGGCACCCTGAACAGTATCCTGACTGAGGCGTTGTGGTAAATTCTGGGCTCACTTTTCCTTTGTTCTCCCCTGCCTGCCTCCCTGGCTCTGAGGTCTTGTCCTCTGGGGAGATAAGTTAAGTGCTCTGCCAGCCTGCCTTTGTGCCTGGCCTGTTTTTTCTCACTGCCAGTACCTCTTGGATTCCAATTCCAAACATGGTATCCATCTGGGGTCACCCTTTCTTCCGGTGCCAAGAGAGACGCATTCCAAATGGAACACAAGTGTGCCTCCCGTGCTGAGCTCTCCTCATTCTGATTGGGGACAACAGAGCAGGATGTGGCCACTTTATCCCTCACAGCTAAAGTTTTCAGCCCCTGAGTCTTAGCTTTGCCTCGGGACACGTTAGCTTTTCTGCTGAGAGCCAAATGTGAAGACTGTCCTAAGAAACCTGGAGCCGAGTCAGCTCGCCAGAGCTCTGCGGACAGGGCCAGAGCCTTGCTGAAGGAAAGAGAGAGGGGGAAAACAAGTTTAAAAATCCTCCATGAAGTGTACTATGCTCTGCCATTTATTCCCAAAGCTACTGGAAGCATTCCTCTCAGGAAAGGTGGGCTTGGTGACGAGAAGCCGGACGTGAGAAGACTCCTGGGAGGACCGATTAATCCACTTTCTGAATTTCCTCTGTGGGGACAGTCTCAGAGCCCTGCAAGGCATTGGGGCGCCCTGAAGATGAGTGCTAACAGCAGCACCATGAGCCAGCTAATCTGGCAGGGCCCCGTGTGCGTTGGCTGGAAGCGGGATCTGGAAGGCGCGGTCTACCATCTGGCCAACTGCTTCTTGCTCCTGGGCTTCATGGGGGGCAGCGGGGTGTATGGATGCTTCTACCTCTTCGGCTTCCTGGGCACGGGCTACGTGTGCTGCGTGATGTGGGGTTGGTTGGATGCTTGTGGCCTGGACCTCATCCTCTGGAGCTTCCTGCTGGCAACGGCCTGCCTGCTCCAGCTGGCATACCTGATACACCGGCTGCGCAGGCGCGCCCTCCCCGAGGAGTTCGACGTCCTCTACAAGACGCTGTATCTACCCCTGCAGGTGCCTCTGCAGGTGTACAAGGAGATTGTTCAGTGCTGTGAGGAGCAGGTCTTGACGCTGGCCACTGAGCAGACTTACGCTGTGGAGGGCGAGACCCCCATCAACCGCCTGTCCCTGCTCCTCTCCGGCCGGTAAGCTCCTACGTCACAGCTGGGCGTTTCCTCCCTCGGTCCATGCTTCTCGTTTCCTAGTGTGTCCCTTTCCATTCTGAGGCCCTTCCATTGAGGGAAGGATGTGGCAAGTCAAACAAACAAAAACAGTTTTTTTTTTCCCCCAAGCGTGGGTTTGGTTCCTCTTTCTTAGCATTTTCCAAGAGGAAACAAGATCATGAGATAGCTTCTCAGTTGGCAGGAAGGACTGTGCCGTGCCTTTGGTGCTGGGAGATGTGGGCTGAGTGTCTCTTGAGTCTGGGTCTAAAATGGCCGCGCACACGCGCACGCACACACACGTATTACACACACCGGTGGGTCATGCGTAAGCTGCCACAATGTCTGTGAGCTTTGAAAAAGTGGACCTTTTAATAAGGTTGATTTGTTCCTTCCAGATGTATTCAGTATTTCCTAAGTGCCAACTATGTGCAGGGAACAGTGAGGGCATCGAGGAAACAGCCCCAGTTATGTTGAGGCTATCCTGTAAGAGTCTGTGGGGAAGCCATTTGGTGTACAAGCAGATGGGGAGAGGGAATATTCCCTGTCCTCTTTTACATTCACACGTTTTCTGTTGAGATTCTTACAGACCAGTGATCAAGTACCAAAAAGACCACACAGTGAAGGAGAAGTGATGCCCACACGTGTCTCATTGAGGATCTGGTGGAGATACCTGGCTGATTCCTTCAGGCTGGGTGACAACAGAAATGAGCGGAAATGGTCTTAGTCACGATTAGTGTATGCTCAGTCAGCCCACACATGAGTGTTGGCCCTTGGCTGACATCTGAACAAATACCACGGGCTCCATGCTGTCCATTTGGGAGGTGGTTGTGGAATCTTTGAAATATCGCCCTAGTGGGACTTCTGTGTGGGGCTGAGCATCAAACAGTAAACTATGTAACCTGGTTCACTTGGGCTACCTCAGTGGAAAGCAAGCAAAGTATTTCAAAAGCTTGTTCTCAGTTTCCTTCCCTGCTTTTTGGAGACGAGGAGAAGGTGATAGAAAAGATAAGGTAGTAATCTTATCAGAAGGCTCTGATTCCCAGGGTGGCAGGGGAAGAAACCAGATAAGACTGCCAACCACACAGGGGGAAAAAAAGAAGAGTTCTAGAATGATGATGATGGTACTACAACGACTACTGGTAGCAATAATGTGCATTGCTGTACTACTGTGTAGAATCAACAGTGTTAGGTATACGTGTGATTTTGTTTGGACTCAGAGTCCTGGGTTGAATGATCTATGAGATTTTTGTGGGGAGACATTTCATTTATGAATAAAGTGAAGTGTAAACAAATGGAATTATCTGTAAACAAATACATGTATAAATAGAAGTACATTATGACTGTTGCCAAAATGTTTGCCGCCTACAGTTCCATGCTTAAAATAAAAACAATCTGGGATGCCCCGGGTGGCTCAGTCGGTTAAGGCTCAGGTCATGAGGAGCCCAGAGAGACTGTGGACTCTGAGAAACGAACTGAGGGTTTTGGAAGGGAGGGGGTGGGGGGATGGATGAGCCTGGTGGAGGTATTAAGGAAGGCACATATTGCATGGAGTACTGAGTGTGGTGTATAAACAGTGAATCTTGGAACACTGAAAAAATAAAATAAAATAAAAAAGTCTCAGGTCATGAGCCCAGGGTCTAGGGATTGAGTCCACATCAGGCTCCTTGCTCAGTGGGGAGCCTGCTGCTCCCCCTGCTTCTCTGACAAATAAATAAATAAAATTCTTTTAAAAATAAAATATAGACTACTTAAGAAATATTCTTCTTGGAGCTCCTGGGTGGCTCAGTGGGTTAAGCCTCTGCCTTTGGCTCAGGTCATGATCTCAGGGTCCTGGGATCGAGCCCCGTATCGGGCTGTCTGCTCAGCAGGGAGCCTGCTTCCCCCCTCTTTCTCTCTGCCTGCCTCTCTGCCTACTTTTGATCTCTCTCTCTCTGTCAAATAAATAAAATCTTAAAAAAAAAAAGAAAAATGTTCTTCTTCAGGAGATTCAGGATGTTATTTGTTACCTGTAGCTTGTCCGTTCAAAGGAGCTGAGACAGGTGGGAGAAAGGCCTGCAGCACCTGTATGGCTATGATTATTATACAATATTTTAAATCCATTTTTAACATGATGAATTTGCCATGAATTTGTAGAAGACCTCTTCCCTGTGACGGGGAGAGGTGGGTTTGCCTCCTCAATGTGGCTTTTCCTAGTATACTTGGCATAAAAAACCAGAATCAGAAATTAGACAGTTTTGGTTTTTTTTTTCTTGCTTTTCAGGGTTTAGAGTGAGAGTTTTATTTGTTATCTTTTAATGTCATCCTGTCTCAACTTTGCTAAGCTGGAGCTGGGAGAAGAGGTTTCCTGTCTGTGACCAGGCTCCAGTTTTAAGGGAGAATCATTGTACCTCAGGCTGGTTCCAGTTGAGGTACCCAACACCTCAGAGCTGTGAAAGAGAACTCTGTGCCAGGAAGTCGGGATTTCTGGTGCAGACCTCCCCCATATCACATGCAGGCTCTCATCTGGAGCCCTTTGCTAAAACCTCAGATGCCCTTTCTATTTTATTTTAATGTATGCAACTAGTCCCTTTTAAGACTCAGAAAAGCCAAGTGACTTCCCCAAAGTTTGTCACCTTGTTAAGCTGGGCTTACTGTTGGTGTGTTTCTGTCCTACAGAATTCTCTCATGCACAGCCTCCTGGGCAGGCAGCTAACTGTCTAGGCTATTCAAGTGGGAGGAAATACCTGTCATCCAGGGGTTCAAGAAGGAAGAAGAGGCTTAAATGATAAAAGGCATGATATACCAATTTAAATGGCTTAAGGGAGCCCCGCAGGCTCATTAGATGTTATACTTTAAATGATGTCACTCCTCCTCGTTTGCTCAAGTGGTCAGATCCCTTGCCTGAGGAGCTGGTAAGAGGATCTTGCGTATTCAGCAGCAGCCTTGTTTTCTCCTAATGTCTGTCTGTCTTCCTGTATTCAGGAAGCTTTTCCTTGAGATGTTGGTCCCCTTTTATGGTGACACGAGTGAGTTCACACAATCTGTTCAACTGTTCCTTTCTTCTCTCCTTTATCCCTCCATTCCTACCTTCCTTTCTTTCTTTTCCCCTTCCAAAAATATTTATTAAAAGCACTAGGGACTAAGGATCCAGTGTTAAAATATGAAAAATACTGTTCTTGCTGTCTATCAAGAAAATCAATAATGTTTGACATAGTGGTGAATCACAGCATGATATTTCCAAGGAGAAACATAAGTGCACTCAGAACATGTACCCGATGGAGCTACTTTTCTGGGGGAGGTCAACAAAACTTCCTGGAAGAAAGAATGTTTAGGCTGAGACCTGAGGAGAAGGTGGAGGTTGGGAGGAGATCCAGCCAGAGGGGACAGACTATGTGGAGAACCTGAGGTAGGAGAGCCTGGCACTTCATTTTCTCTTGTATCTTTTTATGACTCGGGGAAGTTCTGCCTGGCTGTCTCTCTAGATTACCTGGTCTTGTAGGAGCATCTGTGTCTCTCCCATGGAGTACTATGGGCTGACACCACATCCATGGCTTGGCGTGAGAACTACATCCCCTTCTATCTTCCATCTTTAGGTTGTCAGACAAAAGGCAACAGCTTATTGGCGAAGTTCTTTGGTAATGTGTGTGCATGAGTGTACGCAGGCATTCATTAGGAGCAAGATTTGGAGCACTAATGTCCCATTTGGCCAGAACTTAATCACGTGACTATACCTACCTGCAAGGGAGGTAGGGAAATGCGGTCTAGCTGAGCAAGCCCCGTTAAAACTCTGGCACTGTGGAGGAAAGGAAAGAGCAGATAAGGGAAAACAGACTACCACACCACCATCTGTCCCTGGCCTCATCGACTTCCCAGCATCCTGTTCGTTTTTCAAAAGTCAGCTCAGATGTCATCTTTGAGAATTCTACCACCTGAAGAGAACTAATCTCTCTCCCTCCTCTATTCTCCCATTTCATAAGACCACACATGGACTTATAGCCAGTTATGGACACGTCTGTGATTTCCACTAAATTGTGAAATCCTTAAAGGCAAGGATCAGCTCATACCCATCTCTGCTTTTCCGGATCTCCAGGACCCCAGGAGGTACTCATGCATATGTATTTAGCCAGTAAAGCTCCAGAAAAAAATGGAACAATAGCTCCTTCCCCATGGACAGAGTGTACCTCAGAGATCTCTTTGTCTGCCCCCCCCTTTGTTTGACAGAGACACCTCCTTTCCTGGTATAACTCAACCTTAGGGAGAGCTTGAAGCTGAAACTGAGTTTTCTGGGGGAAAGAGGAAAAACCCATATTGGATCTTAATCATTTTCCATTTTTATTTTTTATTATTTTTTAAAGATTTTATTTATTTATTTATTTATTTATTTGACAGAGAGAGACACAGTGAGAGAGGGAACACAAGCAGGGGGAGTGGGAGAGGGAAAAGCAGGCTTTTGTGGGGCTCCATCGCAGGACCCTGGGATCAGGACCTGAGCCCAAGGCAGATGTTTAATAACTGAGCCACCCAGATGCCTCCTATTTTCCATTTTTAAATTCATAATTTGGATGGAGGAGGGTTTGGGTGGCCACTTCCCTTTCTCCACACGGTCTCTTCTCTCCCTTTGCCAGGGTTCGTGTGAGCCAGGATGGGCAGTTTCTTCACTACATCTTCCCCTACCAGTTCATGGACTCTCCAGAGTGGGAATCTCTGCAGCCGTCTGAGGAGGGTGTGTTCCAGGTAATGGGGAGCCAGTGCCGGGACCGCCCCACCCTCTCCCACTGTGACCCAGGAATATGCCCCCCTCCATCCTTCCCCACTCACATCTGTTCTTTGAACCACTGCCAATGTGATGCTAGGGGTGGGAGCGCTCTCCTTCTGTGGAAAGAGAGCCAGGGCTGCGGGCAGGTAGGGGTGAGGGGAGGTACTAATCCCCGAGAGGCCATGTCACTCCTATGCCTAAAACTCGTGAAGACCACTACGACCACAAAATAAAAACCCACACCCCTTAGAGAGTAACCTAAGACCTTTAGTGACATCTAGCCACATCTCCAGCCCCTTCCTCCTTCACACTTTTTGCTCATACCAGCCATACGGAACAGAACAACTAGCACTTCCCTAAATACATCCCCCTGTTTTTGCAAGGGCCACGCTTGGCCCCTCCTGTACCTTCTATCTGAAACGCATTTCCCCCCTGTAAATGAGGTGATGGTATCTTAACTTCCCCTGAAGCTTGCCCAGATTGACCTCATGGGCTTTGAATCCCCACAGCTTCATGTTCCTGTCTGTGGGCCTTTCTATTCCTTCTACTTATGCTGACTGGGACACATTGCTCTCTGCTCTAACGATTTGGTTTCGTTTCCTAACTCTTTGAGGTAGAAATCTGGGCTTCCTCTTCTCTCTGTTCCCAGGCTCCAAAGGACAGTACCCTGAACACAGTGGGTGTTCAATAAAGCTTTGCCAAACTGGCTTGGCAGAGGGCAGTTGGTGCCTCAGGGAACTCTATGAGGCAGTCACAGACATACTCCATGGTGGGGGCCTGGCTGCTTGGCCCCTGCTCTCTTCTCTGCCAGTCCTTCAAACCTCAGTTCCTTGCTTTGTAGCTCTCACTTATTGACTGGCTAGTATGTGTCAGGCACTAAATATTATATTGCCTTACTGATTCTCACCTCTGGGGTGGATATTATCATTTTCCCATTTAACAGATAAGGATGTTGAGGCTCCAAAACATCAAGCAGTTTGCCCAAGGTCTTCATTCAGAAAGTGGCAAAGTGAAGTTGCCTGGCTCTGCTATTACTATTCTTCTTGAAAACGAGCGGGGCACCAAGAGAATGAAGTACACACACACATACACAGAGAAAAACACACACACACATACCCTATTACAGGGACTTCCCTGTCCAGATAGTTCACTACTGCTGGGTTCCATGTGAATTTTACCACTTCTGTCGGGGACTCCCTCAAGCTAACTCCAGAATAGACACCTGCCAGGAAGGGTCACCTGGCTGGGCCTGTTTCTGCCCCAGCCTGACTCCTGGCCCTGTGAGGACAGACCCTGAGAGGCAATCCCTATCCCACTGCTGGGCCACCAACCATAGGCCTCCACTGATCATGTTCCCCTTCCACCACACACACCCCCACCCTCTCCAACCAGCCGAGCAGCCTTCTGTGAGAACTCCTGCAGGCCCCTAAGAACCTCCGGGAGGGCAGAGTCAGGTCCTGAGCCAGCCAGACCAGCCTCTGTTCCTGACACTGACACCGAGGAACAGGTGGGGGATAAGCCGGGTGTCCTCCCCTAAGCTCTGCTTGAAAGGAGAGACTATAACCCCAGATGGCCTCTCAGCCTGGAATGTAGCTACTGTCAGATTCCTCCCGTTTATATTTTTAGTGCGCACCTCCTTTGGGAGCAATGAGATCCACACGTTCGCTATTGGCTCTGTAAAGTCCCATTTCCTCTTTGCAAGTGTCAGGCGTTGTCCTGAGTTATAGTTCATGCTGTCCTTGCCTTTTGTAGTTACAGTCTTTGCGAACTAATAGGGCAATCCACAGTGACCAAACCATAATTCTCATTGTGTTTACCACTAATGAATCAATGTTCCATCACACCTCTCAGCAATCCAATTAAATAAGAATTTATGGGCTATTCAGCACTGGGACCCTCTCGTTAGTCACCAAGAACATAGCATAGAAGGTATTGCACAGAAATCATTATTTCTCCAATTTACGTCATGCCTTACTGGACCCAAGCCCTCTTTCCATATGTTGCTTCATTTAACCCACTTAACAAGACTCTGAAATGAAAATTAGACGAAAAAGTTGTCAAAACTTTATTATAGACAAATGCATATATGTATATGGGACCCAGGCAATAAGCAGGCTTCCTGAAGACCTTTGAGGGAGGATTTTATACAGGACCTGTGAAAGTGACATTCAGTTGTTTTGCAGCATATAAGATTGGTGGTCTTTACCTGACTCATTCATTCACTTCAGTAATGTTTACTGAACATTTTATTATATACAAGGCGCTGTTAAAGTGCTTGGGAGGTATCAGTGAACAGTATAAGAGGAAGTTCCCTGCCTTCATGTAATTTGCATTCTAGTGAGGAAAGATTAAAAAAAAGCCATAGACATAATGAATAATTATGTAATATATTAAAAGATAATGAGGGCTAGTTTAAAAAAAAATAGAGTGGTATACGGGAGGTCTCATTGCAATTTTAAATAGGGTGATCACAGAAGTCTTTGTTGAGCAGGTGACATTAGAGCAAAGACCTGAGAGAGATGATAGTGTGAGCTCTGAGAAGCTGAGGGCATAGCATATTAGACAGAGAGAAGAGCCAGTGCAAAGGCCCTGTGGTGGAAGGGACTAGCATGTGTGAGGTACAGAAAGGAGGCCTGGAACAGAGAGAGGACAGGGGGAGAATAGCTGGAGAGGAAGTCAAAGATGGGATGAGGAATCACATCATGTAGGGCTGGTGCATAAGTCTAAATAGAGCCAAAAGGATTTCCTATAATGTGTTGGATGTAGTGTGTGAGAGAGAAAGAAGATCAAGGAGGACTCTAAGGCTTTTGGTCTGAGCAACTGGTAAGACGGAGCTGCTCCTCAGTGGGGAGCCTGCTTCTCCCTCTACCTCTGCTGACCCCCACTGGAGCTCTCTCTCTCTCTCTCTCAAATAAATAAATAAAATCTTTTAAAAATTTTTAAGAAATTATTGTGGTCAATCCGATTATTAAAAATTGTGTGATTTGGGGCCGCCTATGTGGCTCAGGTGGTTAAACATCTGACTTTGGCTCAGGTCATGATCCCAGGGTCCTTGGATCAGGTCCTACATCTGGCTTCCTGGTCAGTGGGGAGCCTGCTTCCCCCTCTGCCTACTGCTCCCCCAATTGTGCTCTCTCTCTCACTCTCTCTCTCTGACAAATAAAATCTTCTTTAAAAATTGTGTATTCTACACCCTGGTCCTTTACTATCCAGGCACATTTCTAATATAACCCTAGCTTTACCACCCATCATTGCTTTAACAAGGATTTATCAAGCACTTGCTCATACCAGGCACATTGCCTAGCCTGCAAGTGTAATTTAGCTTTGCATCGTGTGCCCGTAGCAAGTGCTCAGAAATCCCTAGGTGGCTAAATAAATGGAGAGTGGGGTGCCCTCGACTTTCTGCTCCTCAGATCTCCTCTTCCTTCATGCCCTTTCTCTGACCTTAGCCATCAGATCTCTTTGATGAGTTGTTGTGGCCGTGTCAAGAGCGGCTTCCTGGGCCTGAATTCCAGGCCGGCATTCTGCCACGTGACGCAGCCTGGCCTGCCTAATCAGAAGCTCTTCTGTAACTGAATTGCTTTCCAACCCGTCCTTAATCCCTCTTGCAATATATTTATCTTTCTTTATTCTCAAAACAAACTGTCATCACCATGTCAGCCTATCTTCAGAGCAGTAGGAGGCCCCGTCTTTCTCATGAGATCCCAACAGACTCAGAATCTCCCTTCACTGTTAACGGTATCAGCCGTGGGACCACAGAATGTGAGAGCTGAGGAGACTGGGCCTGGAGGCTGAGGCTCCAAGGGGGTGAAGGCCCCTTGGTGAGTGGGTGAGTAAGTGGATGGCTGGACCCAGGGCTCCTGACAAAGCCCCCCTCCACATCACAAGTAAAAGTCATTCTCCGGACCTCCTTCAGGCAAGGCCATGGTGGGCGCTGCCACAATTTCTTTAACAAAAGTAAAGCTGTTTTTTGAGTAACTCTCTGTTTCTCTGTGCTAAGCATGGACACATAGTCTAATTCAAAACTTCACTCTCTTCTCCGGAACCCCTCAGGTCACTCTGACTGCCGAGACCCCATGTAGCTACATTTCCTGGCCCAGGAAAAGTCTCCACCTTCTTTTGACCAAAGAGCGATACATTTCCCAACTCTTCTCAGCCCTGCTGGGCTATGACATCTCAGAGAAGCTCTACGCTCTCAATGACAAGCTCTTTGCCAAGTTTGGGCTGCGCTTCGACATCCGTCTCCCCAGCCTCTACCATGTCCTGGGTCCCGCAGCCTCGGATACAGGGCCTGAGTCCGAGAAGGATGACGAGGAAGCCCGTGAACCAGCCTTGCCCACATCTGCCCAGCAAACACCCCCTTGCTCTCCTCTTCCAATGGCCACCAGCCCTCCTGCACCTCCTTCCCGGGCCAGGTTGTCCCGGCCCGACAGCGGCATCCTGGGTGAGGACTCCACCAGTCTGGTGCTGGAGGATTTTGAGGAGGTGTCGGGATCAGAATCGTTCATGGATTATAGGAGTGATGGGGAGTACATGAGGTGAGGGAGAACTAACACGGGCACGGCCACCCGGCTCAGGATCCTGTGTAAGTACTCAGAAGACAGCTGGCACGCATTCCTGCCAACAGTTGGCCTCCACTCGGCTTGTAAGGGCACAAAAATTCTCACAGAGCCTGTCCTCTCAGAGGACTCCCAGAAAGTGGCACTAACCCAACCTTGCAGTAGCAGCTCACTCCAGGTGCATGCAAGGCATGAGGGGATTTTTTTTTTTTTTTGACTCATTTTTTATTAAGTGTGATTGCATTTTGGAAAATGGGCTTGTTGACATTTTAAGCAATCAAATGATTGCAAAACTGTGAGTTTGTGCAGCGTTAAGGCCATAGAGAGCAAGGGCTAAAGGGGATTTTATTTGTGGCATGTGTTTTAAATGGGGGGGGAAAGCTGACATGGTTCTAATTCCTATCAGTTCTTCATAGTGTAGAGGCAGCTCTGAAAGCAATCACTGCTTGGATTGGCAGCTAGCTCTGAAAATCACAAATTTTAAAGAGGCTTGTGATAGAGGCTGATAACCCTGGGAGGAAAATGTCCCACCTTACTCTCGTCTTGCCCTGTGGAGAGACCTTGCTTATTCAGGCAGACAAATGGATGCTGCTCTGTTACTATGATCATACGGGTATACAGCAGCCTGGCCTTCCCCCAACCTGTGTGAGGTAGATGGGCACAAATGTGGGAGGACCTAACAGAAAGGGCAGGATTTCCCTCACAGCTCAGGAGAATGTACAAGAAAGCCTATATAGAGTAGTTCTGGGAAATGGTTGCTCTCACATTGCTGTGACATTTTCCTCTGGGACTCCACCTAGCCATGGCGGAGGCCTGGCTTTTCCTGAGGAAAATCCCACTATTGCCAGTGGGAAGACATTTCCAAGTGTGTGTGTGATGTAGGGGCCTAAGAGACCCGTCCTCCTTTGGGAAGCACTGACAAATTTTTTTAAAGAAACTAGCCCAGGGAGGAAGGTTTCTAAGGTACACAAGGTGAATGAGTGAATGTATAGTTTGTAAGAACAATTTATGTAAATGGTGAAAGAGGCTGGGGAGGCAAATGGTAAAAGTTAAATGTCTTGTTTTATAGACATGAATTTGTCATCTCCTGTAGTGCTAATGTCCCTAGAACCACAGATTCCATGGATCTATCCAGGACCCGAGATCACTCATTGACTTCCTCCATTTGCACTGGTCACTGTCCTACTTGTCCACTGTGCTGATCTTCACCACCCTTCTTGTCCACGCCCATCCCTGCTTGTGAGTCCTGCCCTGTGGAGCCCTGTCCTTGTCCAGCGCGCCTGCGCATCTGTGCACACTCTTCACTCCTGGCGGCTCTTGGTGCTCACGTGTTTCTCCTGGTTTCTTCTCTTTTCCTGGTTCTGTTTGCTCTTCTCTCTTTCCTCTTTCTGACTTCTGCTTAGTCCCTGGTTGCCTCCATCCGCTGCTCAGAAGAAAAAAAGTCCTTTCTTCCCCTCCTCCTCCTCTTCCTCCTCCTCCTTCTTCTTCTTAGGTAATTTCTCCTCCCAATATCTGTCCCTTACATTTTCCCCATTTTATCATTCCTGTATTTCTCTATTACCTTCTTTTCCTCCCCCCCCACTTTCCTGCCTTGTTCTTTCCTCAAAATTACCCTGCACCCCCATCTTTGTATTTAATCCATACTCTTCCAAGATCCGTACCTCTCCCTCTGCTACAGATAAAACCATTTGAGTGAAGGTGTGAACACTCCCAGCTGTAGGTGGCTACACATTGCCGGCATGAGTTTTCCCAGACATTAGAAAGCAGCATGATAAACAGAAAGAGAGCCAGACTAGGCACCTGCAGTCCTGCCTGGCTTCTGTGTCTGGGCCTGCTACTTTTTACAAACCACACAACCTCACCACACCTCACTTTCTGCGTTTGAGTGTATTGGACCAGCTGGACCCCAAAGGTCTTAGTGGATTTACGTAAGAGGGCAATGGATGAGTTGTTTCTAGGAGGAAAATAGAAACAGGCAGCAGTATAAGGGACATAGGCCGCAGGGCTTCCGAGTGTCTTTCAGCAAGAACCCTCTGCCATATTTCACTACAACTTCTCTTTTGACTTGGGACTGTCCTCCTTGCTGAATGATGGGTCCTGCTTGATTAGAAGTCCCCTCCATGCTGCATGAAGAGCCTACCCCCTACCATGTGATGACAAGTGCAGATGTTCTAAGTGAAAGAAGGTCACCATTCAGTCTCCAAGCCCCTCCGCCCTTAAGACTCCCACACGAAATACCCATTTGCCAATCCAGCTTTTTCTGAACCTTGAGAAAACTGCTCATATAACCAGCTTTCTAAAGTATTGGTATTGGCAGTGTAAAGAGAGTAGGCTTTTTAATGTTTGTTTATTTAGGTAATAGAAAGGGGGAAAAACATTATTTATTTCCAAACTACAGAATTTTGAGAACAACTTGAAAACCTGGTCAAGTTGTACAAATTTCAGATGGCTTTCCATTTAGTCTGTGATCATGGGATCCTTTTCTGGAATTGTGTTGTGGGGTGCGTGGTTTGACTTAATTTGCCATCAGAACCCTTCTAGGGTTATTCCTTTACTGAGTAAGCAGAGTCCCTTGTGATAAGTAGCAATTTACTACTGTGTCCTTTATAACACAGGGCACAACTCACCCTCTGTGCCTGGGCCCTTACCAGCATTGTAAGCTCAGTGCTGTTCATCCTGGCACAGCACTTACGTAAGAGGCAGGAAGCTGGCTGCACTGGGGCTCATTGAGAATGACAGGGCTTCATCACATTGACACAGTGCTTGTCCCTCACACCAGGACTGGCTAAAAATAGTCTGGCTTCCATTAGAGCTCTCTTCGGAAGACAGTGCATCTTTTAGTCTCGTGGTGCCCAGAATTGAATGTTGCTTTTCTTAATGGCACAGCAGCGCTGCACCATAAGGCACTCATGCAGGGTCCTCCAGTCAGACCTCACCTTAACCCGGCCTTCATGACATACTTGGGTTCTGTGGACACTCTCCAGAATGTTCCATTAAGTGTCTTCCTTACAGGAGATGCTCGGTGAATGCAACTCTGGAGTGAGCAAAGAAGTCAGATAGTTTGTGTCTGCTGGTACAAATTAATTGAACGCTGTTTGAATTTTGGCCAATTTTGATTATGTTTTCAAGTTATTCTGAAAACTCTGTGATTTGAAAGTAGGAACCATATGTTGCTGCCTTTCTCCCTATTATTTAAATTAAAAAGCAAGCAAATGATAAGCAGATTACAACAGAGAGGCTAATTGTGGTCAGGGAAGGAGCACAAAATCAACTGGCCAGACCCTCACCTCCTTTGTGAGGTTCGTTGGTTCAGGGGGAGACAGAATACTGTCACACTATACCCACTCTGTTGATTCTCTACTCATCACATGTAGCTTCCCTCTGTGATGGCTGTAAGGTGCTGGCGTAGCTGTCAGTTTTGTTAAACAGCACTTTTCTCACAGAAACCACTGGAAAGACTCCTGGAGCGGACAACGTGCCCTTGACCATGGCATGGCAGGAGCTGCCCTGGGGCCTCTGGTTCTGGGTCTCTGAAGGTAGCACCCTTCCCCCCTGTCAAGGCCCCATATTGTGTTGGCTCAGCAAGAGGCAGCAGCTCCCTGCCAGCCCCCTGACTCACAACCTCCTGTCCCCAATGCCCGATCCGTTGTTCTCTCACTTGTGTTGTACTAGCCTCATTCACCTACCCCTCCCTTTGTGAAAATAAAAGACACGGGCCTCATTAAAGCCATCATTCTGCCATACAGATGTTTTGGAAACCCATTCGGTAGCGCCAGATAAGAAGTAGAGCTCTACAGATTCTTCACAGGAAGCACCAGGAGTTGATCTCTTGGTCTCTGCCCCCATAAAACGAGAGGTTGGGCTAAATAACTTCAAAGCGGGTTCATCATCATACTCTAGAAGAAATGATTCAAGGTTACAACTGCCCCTACCATGTCAGGCCTTGGGTACAGCTGAAACAGTGGGGATTAGCAGAAGAAGATAAAACGGGAGAGAACAATGGGAAGTGAGGCAAGCTAGCTGGAGAGACAGTGCTGAAATCCTTCCTCTTTTTCTTTCCACAGCTCCTAGAACTCCTCTCCACAGTTACTCTCAAGCTATGTCCAGGGGACAGGCCCCCTTGGCTCCAACCCACACTCCTGAACTTTAAGGATCCATGGGCTGTCTTTTTCTCTGGCCACACAAATCTTCACAGGAAGCTCACTGGAGTGCACACCCCGTCTTACCCACTGGAGGGCTCATGGGCTAGGTCGGGGCAGGCTCAGGAGACATCGGTGCTGCAGCGACACGAGGGCCCCCAGCAACTCGTAGAAATTTGCCCTCACCAGCCTTCCTTCCAGGAGGAGGCACGCAGAAGTGCAAAATCACTGATTCCATCCTTCACAAACTGCAGAATCTTGGGCAAGTTCCACAGGCTCTCTGAGCCTCCCCTGTAAAGTTGGGACTTAGAAAACCCATCTCACAAGGTTGTTGTGAGCATCAGATGAGATGACTTAGGTAATGCACCTCAGACATGGCGTGGCACCTCGTGAGCGCTCAATAAATCACTCCATTTATTTTCCCTGATGTTTCTTTGAACTGTCTGGAAGGGTCTCTGAAGCCAGCTAGACCAGAACTTTTCACGATTTGCTTATTCATTTGGTTGGGGTTTTTTTTAACAGTTAGATTTAACTTATGGAAGTAGAAATTAAAAACCTAGTTTTCCCTTAAGCTTTGAAGTTCAACTGACAAATCTCTTGCTCTCTTTAGGACCCTAGCATTAAACAATAATTTTTAGGGGAACTTCAACAAACTCAGTTAATTAAATTTCCTTAAACATTTTAAAGTGGGTTTATCAATTTAACACATTTTATTTTACTTTTTCCCTAAATACTTCAACATATATTCTGTTATCCATTGGCATGTAACATTCATACTTGAAACAGTGACTTAAGATAGTTTATTTTGTTGATGCACGTGGGGCTCAACTGGGCCCCGCTGGGC